GGATTAAGTTTTCGTCCTGTAAATCCTTAAAAGGTTGAGTTTTATGTTGTCATAAACGTAAAACAGAAAGGTTTATTGTCTTAAGTTTTTAACGCGGATTTTGAAAGCATTTAGATATAAACAAATAGAGTTGCAATGTACATTTTAAAACAATAGGAAGAAAGAGGGTCTGCATGGGGTTTACAGAATAGAGAATAATGGTCCAATACCACAGAAAATGGGCCAAAAAAATAATGAATAGAGAAAAATAAGGCCAAAATATAAAAAAACACATGCATTCCTTATTTACCGTGTGCTGATATATAAAGAATAGAGAATAAGAATAGAAAAGAATACAGAGAAAATGATTTAAAAAGGCAAAGAATACAGAAAAAAAGACCCCCATCCACATCCTCATGAAAGTTTAATCCGCTATTGGTTTTTCTGTTTTGACGGGCCACAGTTGGAAATCTTGTCTATTTTAATCAGAAGTAAAATATTGAAAAATCTTTACTGAAACAAGTAGACGCGTTCAGTGAACTTCCTGTGTATAAGTAACCAAAAGACAAACATTGGAATTATATGAATATTTACAGAATGGCCAAGTGATGCATTGACTGGATTATCTAAATATTGTCAAGGTTGATAAAACTCATTGGTCCAGATTTTAATCGTTCATTCATTAGCATTAAATTCTTCAATTCTACATAAGTTGTTCAATATCTCCAGTACATCTCCAGTATATTAACGATTGTCAGTATTATCACATAGCTCTCATGTTGTGTTTCTAGATTCTATACCTGTATATTGTTTACACATTGCGTTTTGGCTTGTTTTTAAAGAAGGAAAAGGGTAAAAGTATAAGGTATCGACGATCCGATATACTGGTGAAAGTTTTTGAAAAAAATACGGTCGCTCAAATCATCCAGAATTAGAATATAAAAATAAGGAGAGGTGGTATGATTGCTAATGAGACAGCTATCCACCAAAAATTTAATAAAGTGAATATAAGCAATTATAAGCAACCGTACGGCCTTCAACAATGAGAAAAAACTCATACCGTATATGTCAATATTTCGATACAAATATTAAAAAAAAAAACTTGTATTGATACAGTTATTTCCTTAGAAAAAAAATTATTCATATATTTTTAGATGGTTAAGTTATTTTAATGGCTGTATCAACTTAATCAGTTCTTTACACTTATTTATATTGAGGAAAACTTTCTCCTTTATACTTGTATTATATAGGTTAGTATAACCACTAAGTATTTTTAACAGTTACAATATGAATGAAGCTAAACTATCTATTAGATAGTATTTATACATATTACTGTGAATATTTCAAGTCTAGACACCAATCTATATTCAACCACCAATATCCGACTGATTAGACTTAATACCCTTAGTTTTTGGAACTGAGTGCTAAGCTGTTCAAATGGCAAATTTAAATTGATTCCACAGAAGCACTTGACAATGTCTAATGCATTTCATGTAAATTTAATCTTTTTCATGTTAACGAAACAAAACTACTTAGTTCTACAATTTTTTTACATGTTTACATTTGTCATGTGCATGTGGGGGCCATTTATAGCTTGCTTTTAGGTATAGGTTTTAAACCTTGTTGAATGCCGTACGGTGACCTTTAATTGCTAAGTTTATGTTGTTTGATCTCTGTTGGAAAGTTGCCTCATTAGCAATTAAACCACATCTTCTTATGTTCATACCCATTGGATAAAACCTATTTACTTTCATGCACGAGGCAACCTTGGGATAATTAAGGCAATACCCTCAAATAAGTCAGTACAATTATGCCCTCGACAGACCTCGGGAAAACATTTTCTCTATTTTAAAGAGGTCTGGATATTAGATTTTATTAGAAGAAAGCCATTATATTAAGTGTATGTTAAAATAGATAAGATATATTCCAGGGTAAAAACACTAATTCTGAACATGATGATGAACACATCAAAATTCTCCGATATCAGTACGCATTCGAAACTCTATGAAATTAATTCCTCGAGCATTATTTTAAAGTTACAAAGAACAATAAATAGATTTTTTTCCGATGCGCATTCGTTGCAAAACGATAACTGTCTTGTCAGTTGTTGCACATTTACTGCAGATACAGATCTTGTCCCATGTTGCGATTTTAATGCGATACAGTCAATATCTTGTTCCTAGTGCATTTAATGTGGTATGATATACATGTTGTCCTTTGTTGCGCATAGGAATCGATAGTATACCTATTTTGTTTCCTGCGGCGCATACGACGCGATACGATACATAGATTGTCCTCATTGGTGCGTATACCAGGACCTCTTTGGCGCATACAGCTCGATACGATACATGTCTTGTCCTCTGTGGTGCGTATATCTGGGCCCCTTTGGCGCATGCAGCTCGAGACGATACATATATGGACCCCTTTGGCGCATACAGCTCGAAACGATACATATCTTGACCCCTGTGGCGCATACAACTCGATACGATACATATATTCACCGATGTGGGTTATACGACGAGAAAGGATGCATATCTTGTCTCCTGTGAGAATTGTTTTAAATTAACAATGTCTGTCTAATGTTATAGAATTGATGAAAAAGGTCCATCGACAGTTCATTTATTAAACATAAATGGTTAATGTAAATACACTGTTCAATTCTGTACGTTTCATTGGAGAATAAACTGACTGACTGAGCTATCAAATAATACATGGGCAGAGTCTTTGATTATTCACCAAATAATATTCAGTCAATCAGGTGAACTGAACTACTTTTGAATATTTAAAGTTACCTATAAACATCGTTATATAATATATATACGACTTTTGAATCTGACAATATTATTTCATCTTTATAAGACATTTGCGTACAACTGTATCTATTTCAGATAGATAATTCCGTACAACTGTATCTATTTCAGATAGACAATTCCGTACAACTGTATTTTTTGACAGACATTTCGTATCGTAATAAGCTAGGAGTGTTTTGTAATAGTATATTTCATATATCTTAATTCCGTCAGTGGTAAGTCGTTAGAGATCGATCTCCTGTTTTACACGATAGATGTATATTAAATTTAATAAAAAAAAAAAAGATATCGTTCTCATGACAATTTCTTATATAGTAAATACCCATCCTTAATAGCAAGCTTGTTAACTGATAAAAAACACATGTTTTTCAGCTCTATGAAATTCTTATATATCTAATTACACAATATAAGACAATAAAAGAAGCTATGTACTCCTTTCTATATAAATATATGACATTACCTGTTTATGCTACAATTTAATACATTTATTTTCAAAAAAAAAAACATTCATTCATTGTCATCTTTTCAAATTTATTTGTTTTTCATCAAAAGAGTTTAGCCCTTTATTGTGTCCTTGAACGAGGTTAATCTAATCCATATTGTAAGCAAATAGAAGTATTTCTGTTAATATTATTTCATAACCAATCTTTTCACTTATTTAATACAGTGCATATGCATGGATGAATGCATTCTATTTTAAAGAAGAAAAGATGTTGTAAATTTATTCATGACACGATATCGATTCAAGTACTTGTGAACCAAAAAGCAGAGGAACAGAATGAAAATAACAGTTTTATACAAGATAGGCGAAAGATACCAAAGGGACATTCGAACACAAACTGAAAATGCAATGGCAAAAAAATAAAAACTATCAAAAGACAATGAACAGTATGCAAAACACAACATAGAAAACCAAAGACTGAGCAACACGAACTCCTACAAAAACCAGGGGTGATCTTAGGTGCTCCGGAAGGGTTAACAATTACTACTCCACATGTGACACCCGTTGTGTTACTCTTAGATTACGTTGATACGCTATATTAAGTGATAAGTTTTAAATATCCGAAGTGCTTTTTCTCAATTTACTTTCATTAGGAACACGTTTCTTGCTGTTCTTTATTTGAAAGACACAGTTATGTGTCGAAGCTTTCATCTCGTTGTAAGTTGATACTTATCCCTGCACCCTTATGGGTGGAATTATTTTACTAATGTCGATGACGCTACATTTGAACATTAAAAACTAGGCTGCCGGGTAAGATCAACAAACTTTAAACGGACAAACAAATTCACAAACACTACCATTAATTGTCCGACAATCTTACCGAAAAATTCAGAAAAAAATTATGCATTTAATTCTCCGTTGATAAATTAAGTAATTATGAAGAATTTAAGGTTCCAACTCCCTCAGTCAAAGTTGACTTTTAGGCTATTTTAAGGTTCATTTTGGTCATATAGCTATTTTGAGCTAACCTTAGATGGATTTGGCTATAATTTTTAGGTTATTTTTGGTTGTAAAGCTCTTCAACTGTTTCCGTTCTTATACATTCTTGACTTTCAAATATTCGGCTTTGAGCGTTCCTGGTGAAGGTAAATACAGAAACGCGCTTTTGGACGCATGAAATTTATAAAGTGTTGTTTTTACTTTGAATATATCGCCCTTGTTGAAAATGGCCTGCCAGGATGACTTTTTGTGTGCTTATACGCACGCATTAACCAGGCAAAATAACGTTGGAATTTTGATCAATGCGAATTTAATTATGTGTCTTCTATTTATTAATTATTGTTCAATGTCTGAGGCTATTCAATTATATTTCTGTTAACGCCTATCTCAGTGCATCAATTATACCATATTCATAAAAGTTCCGATTGACACAATGTGCAATTAACTTCATTTATCCTTTGTACTTAATGACAAGACTGTGTAAGTTCTTGCTCTGTTAATGATGTAGTTATTTCAATTAGACGTAAAGAAACGTTATATTCGTTATTCTAAATACTGCAATTAGTATGTACCGCCAAACACTTTAATTCTCCTTCGTTCAAAGAAATCAATAAGTTTTACCAATTTACCTCATTAAATGTAATAACGTGTTAATGTTTTTAACTTGGCTTTGTCACATAAGATATTATAGAATTCTTGTTTATGGCAGAAAAAACAATTAAAAAGCAAAATCTACAGGATTTAATATTTCTCGTTATTCTTATTTTCAGATGGAATATTAAACCCAAAGGCCATCATCGGCAATAAAAGAGATAATGCAGCTATCAGTTTCTGAAAATAACGTAACGAATTGTTTGCCATTGGGAAAGGCTGACTTGAAATACAAAGAGTTTTACGAAACATCACAGTTCATTACAGGGCTCATATTATATCCGACAATATGCATACCAGGTATATTAGCCAACATGATAACTTTAATCGTACTATCGAAGAAAAACATGTTGACATCCACAAATGCCTTTCTCAGTGCACTTGCTGTTTCAGACAGCGTGAAATTACTTAATGACATTATTTACTTCTCCGTGACTCTTCTGTCTAAAACTCACAAAGCAGAAGCAAACAAGGCCTTTGGTTATATATATCCGTATGCACATTTCATTTTCAACATGTCGGCATGTATTTCCTCTTGGTTGACAGTAGCAGTTGCTGCGGAGCGATATATAATGGTCTGTCATCCCGTTAGAGCAAGACAAATATGTAGTAGATCGAGAGCTATTACGACGAGTGCATTGATTTATTTTGTAATGACTTGCGTTGCTATTCCTTCTGCTATGAGATACAAAACTATATTAGTAGTTGATAAAGACACTAATACAACGCAATACTTTGTTGAAATAACAGCATTATGGCAAAATGAAACATTTGCTTCGGTGTATAATTGGGTTCAGAATTTCTTACGATGTAATATTCCCTTATTGATTCTGATAACCTTGAACACTTGTATAATAAATTCAATTCGAAAATCTAGAGCGAATAAACGGAACAGTGCACGTCACCGAGTAACAATAATGATGGTTGTTGTCATGGTAACGTTCATGATCTGTATCACACCGGATGCCATTATGACGACATTTTTTGGATATGGCTACCACGAGGAGGAAGATTTTCTAGTCAAAGGGATACGAGAATATTCGGATACACTTTTGGCACTGAATGCAGCTGTGAACTTTGTTATTTATTGTTTATTTAGCAGAACATTTGTAAAAAATTTTGTGGCCTTATTTTGCACTCATTTGAAAAAGAAAAAAACTGAACTAGAAGAAGAAACGTACAGACGCCTTTCGGAGTCTACAGCAATGCATAAATCAAAACGAGGCAGTGCAGTTTGATGTTTCATAAAAAATAGCCATAAAAAGTGATATTGCAAAACTCCGCCCGCACTTAAATCAAGAACAAACGGTACCCAAATCTATGATATTACGAGAGAGATCTGTTCGTATATGTTAAATTTGCTCTTGTTGAGCACAGTTATCTTTTGGTTGTTTTTTAAACGCCTTTTTCAGTAAGTGAAAAAAATGAAGTTTTGTTTATAATTTTGATATGTTAAATGTTTAATGACAAGGATTAGTTCATTGTAATACGAACTTTCTATGTAGACAAGTTGTCTAAAAAAAAAATTTTTTCGACTCCGACAAGATTCAAATTCATGATATCTTATATCACAAGAAAATTATAAATTATACACAATCCTTCGAGGTTTACCATTTGGTTATTTCATTATCTATTAAGTCAAATGGCATAGATCACGACTAGAAATAAACGTGTCAGTCTCTTTAATTTTATTGAATAAGAACAACACATGTATTTGTCCTCAGTTTTCCTGTAAAATGTAAATATTTCAATTAACGCAGGTTCTGTGATAAACATTTATTATTGTAAATTATAACTTAAAATATTGGGCTGCTTTATTTATTTCCAAATATATATGTTAATGCTTTAGAGTGTTTTGTGATTTATGTTCCAACGTCTTAAAAGTCGATATCCGTAATGTACTTCTGTCTTCGTATACCATTAAGATAAAAGGTCAGTTCTGATTAAATTGATTCAGCTACTGTTTATTATGTTCACTAGTGATACTTATCAAATTCTCCATTTAATCATTTCATGAATTAACAATATAGCAAAACAACAGCAGGAATGCTAAAAAATAATATGAAACAGGTGTTACATGTGAAAGAAGATGAAGTCCTTATTATTTTTATGATACATTCTGGTAATCAGATATTAAAATGTTTGGGAAATCGTGTATGTTAAATCAACAACAGAATAATGCGACAGTGCAAATGTTTAAAAAAAAACATTTTGGATTTTCCCTTTTATTGTTTTTTCAACTCATTCAATAGTTCGTTCACTATATGGCAGTAAAAAGTCATTACAGATACGAGGCATGTGATATAGTACGCCAGAAGCACGTTTCGTTTCTTGTTTGGAAGGTTAATCAATGGTGCTCGAATCTAATAGTTAGGATGCAAAGCCATATAGGAAGTTGAAGAGCACCAACTACCAAAATTTCCGAATAAGTTGTCCCAACTATGGCAACGGCAATCTATGCCTTGGGTAGAAAAACCTTACTATTTAAAAAAAATGTTGTAAAACTCATTAAATATATCAGGCTCATAATTTGGTTGTATCCTCATTACTCAAAGAAGTGTATTGCTGGTATATGACACATCTCTCATAATCATGTATGAATTTACAGTTAGAACAAAGATTCGGAAAAGTGGGTGACAAAATACTGTATCCGAGTTCAGTGCTTAAAAAATGTGTGGTTTGATTGCTTATAAAACAACTACCCACCAGAGTCCACAACATACATTTACGCAACTATTGGTCTTCGTATGACCTTCAACAACGAGCAAAACTCACACCATCTAGTCATCTATATAAATACTCCGACATAACAAAATGGTAAACAATTCCAACTGGCAGTTACTTTCTGATGAAGTTAAAACTCGTTTTGATCTTACTGTATGTCCCTCTGTTTATCTGATGGGTTTAGACAAAACTGTCCGTACAAACAACAAACGGGAATAATCAATTTATACAGTACTTGATAAATTCATCAAATCGTAAATATTCAACATCTTAGATTCACGAATTAATTAGGCTTATAATTTGAAATTAATATACCGACGAGCGTTTCATCTACATAAGACTGATCAGTAGCGCTCGCATCAAAACAGGCGGAAAGCCATAACAAGTTGAAAACTAAGTATACCCGTCTTCCATAATTCTAAAATACGATTGCTGTTCTCAGCCCATGAATTTGATCAAATGACAAATTACATTCCCTAGAGTGGATTTGGTGTTGGGAACCCTTCAAGTTCCTGTATTCCTTATCTGCAAATGGAGCAAACCGGTTGCGTCGCGATCGATCAGACAAGAGTTCCCTGCTAAGAATGCATCGCCCGTAATGTGCATCATCTCAGTAAAAATGGCACTATAGAAAATAAGACACAACTGGTAAAATTACAGATAAGACGACTTTACCAGTATCTAAAGATCTAAGACTGCGAAAATATTTTTACTGAGTGGATTCGCATGGCAGGTGATGCATGTATATGAGGAGACCCTTACCTTGTCGACACACTCGGTCTTACTCCTTTTAGAGATAACGCGATTCCCTCAGTTTCTGTTTGTTACCTTGATTTTTCACTTCTTATCGATTTAGGGGATTTAAAAACCAGTAAACTACTGTCGCCCTAAGTTTTTACTCAGAAACCTTTGGACTAACATATCAGTGTAATCCTTCAAAATAATCCTCGGTTCTGGTTTGTTATCTTGGTTTACCTTTTTAATCGATTTATGATATTTAGACATCGGTAAACTACGGTTGCCGAAAATTAAGTTTCACATTTAACTTTAAAATTAGAAAATAATGTCGCAAAACTTCAGAACGTAATATATTTTCAGGATACAAAATTTGGATTTTCTGGCTCTTCTGTTAACTATCATAAACAAAGTAGAGATCAAGCTGTGAATATGAACCTCAAAATGCATGAAATATTTGCAACTTGACGGTAAGCAACCAACAATCAAAAAATCAAACCGTCAACATCACTTTTGTAATAATGTCAATAAAGAGGTGGTGTAAACTGGAACGACAAGAATGAAAATATAACAATATTTTAGAAGAAGAGATTATGGTCTGTGTTTTTATTTGAGTTTCTTTATTTATAAATATTGAAAATAATCAGTCAATTCGGTTTGAAATCTGTCAGACATACAACCATTTGGATTAAAGAGTTATAAACAGACTTATGCTTTCATAAGATTATGTTTATGGCCATTTATTTATGTCTATAAGCTGTGAGAAGTCTCGTGTGTCTTGACCAAGAAATCAAATTATTATATATCGCATTTTTTTTCAGTAATATTCGATATCTATATGATTTGTTCCCGTATTGTATAGGACATTGATGATTGAAAACTAGAGGCTCCTATAAGCAAAAATCGGTCACCTGAGACTACAGGGAATATCAAGACAAGTTACATTTATTTTCTGTTTACATTTTCACATGTCTATTTTTTAGTTTTCAAAATAATAAAAGTAAACAAAAAAATTCGAAATAAATCCTAAGGAATGAAGTTAACAATTTAAAAAATTTTTGCGTTAGAAGCGTTTCTTCTCGATATGACTTAACTAGGAACGCTCAAAGCCACGAATGTATAAGTACTTGAAAACGCACGAAACTATGTGACCAGGAAGGACTTAAAAAAGAATATTGAAATACATCTAAGGTCAACTGTGTCTGATGGAAGATGCAACCAAACTATCTTCATAATATTTAAATTTATGAATGGAGAATTCGAAAAAAAAAGGTCTGTTGTAAATCATGTCCGTTCCTAAGCACTCATGAGGTACGTTAATAATTCTTGATATATTTGCCCTATATTGAACTGGTCTTGCTAGCGATTTACGCTGCTTACATTTCTTCAGTCCGCAATACTGTTCAAGACAATATCTATAAATAGAAACATGGATAAATGAGTTAATATGTCCATTTTTAATAAAACTTGGGACTATTTATAGGCTGTCATATTGTATTGACATCTGCCTTTTGTTGATGTCTATTTTGGCCTTTGATGACTATGTTATTTTTGTCGTTCGGTTACTGTCACATTGTCCCACAACATATCTATGAACTCATATGTACGGATAATGCCTCCTATTAGGAGTCGATAGAAGTTAAAGTCATGAAGTCATGTTGACCTTTTTGTAGATCTTGTCTTTTTCATCATCATTGCTTGTCAAAGTTTCTATAGTAAACATTCTAAAAATGAGCAATAATGCAATATATACCCATTGCAGATTTATGTCATAAAATATTTCTTTTAGAACTTGTATTTCCGTTTACAGTTCCTGTCTACTATTAACAGTGTTCAAGATATATAGATGCTGAAATGGAATGAAAAGTAAAATAACAAGAATACCTAACTCCAAGAAATATTCTATACGGAAAGTCCTTCATCAAATGGCAAAATCAAAGGCTCAAACATCAAACGGATGGAAAACAACGGTCATATTTCTGACTTGGAACAAGCATTTCCTTATGTAAAAAATGGTAGATTAAACCTGGTTTTATAGCTAGCTGATCCTCTCACTTGTATGACGGTCACACAGAATTGTATTATATTGACAACAATGTGTTAGCAAAACAAACCGACTTAATAGGTACAAATGTCAAAAGTTGGGGTATAGCAGTCACCATTGTGCTATTATCTTAATCACTATAAAAACAAAAAACTATTTCAACAAAGAAAAAAAAATGGCATATAGACACTCTATAGAAAAAGCACATCAGCAAAAATGAAAGACAATAATACAAAAAAAAGACCATAACCAACTAACACGATGGCAGGATGTATAAATATTGAGGCTTTCCAAACATTCAACCGTAGTAATACTTAAGAAGTCAACTGACAATTGTTGTCACAAAGAAGTATTTTTAATCGTGCCTTGGGGACATTTTGTGTAGGGAAAACATTCTGTTTGAATGTTCACGATAACAAAAACGGAGAACAAATTGGTTACAAAAATGGCAGTGAGCAATAACTCCTATTTGGATTCCATTGAAGATTTCTGTCATATTTACTATATGTAAAAGAATGGCAGAATATACCAAAAGGGATAATCAGAGTCGATGGCAAACTTACAACAACATGGCACAAAGTAAAAATCGGGCAAGATAAACAACAGTATTCAAAACACAACATGGGAAATAAACTGACCAATTCGAACCCCACTAAAGCAGGGGTGATCTAAGGTGCTCCGGAAGGTTAAGATAATCCTGCTCTACATGTGACACCCGTCGTTTTGATCATGTAAGTTCAGACTTTGTGATAAATCGAATTTCTTGAATTCACAATTGAGAAAAGGACGACGGGTTTATTGTTACAACATTTGGAACATATCCGTCGTCATCTGATAATCTAATATTCCATAACAGTCAACAAGCTAACGAAGGCGTCCGTATAATGTTCGAAGAAATGACTTCAACTTCAGCATTTGAAATCCTTGGTTAAATAGCTTCCTTGTAAGTATCAACCCTCTATCAAGGAAATACAACATCTGAAATATTGTATCAACTGGGAATTTTGTTCTTAACCGACCCTCATTGGCCTTTTCTAGATGTTAGTCAAGATATGAGGTAGACTTGTATCTGTTGTATTCTTTATTTCATGTTCGATTGGATAGATGCGTTGAAAATAGTCCTCAAATATAAATAAGAAGATGTGGTATGAGTGCCAATGAGACGCTCTCCATCCAAGTCACAATGTGTAAAAAGTTAACTATAATAGGTCAAAGTACGGCCTTCAGCACGGAGCCTTGGCTTACACCGAACAGCAAGCTATAAAGGGCTCCTAAACGACTGGTGTAAAACAATTCAAACAGGAAAACAAACGGTCTAATCTATATAAAAACGAGAAACGAG